CATTTGCGGATTCAGCGTACAAGAATTAATGTAGAACATGTAAAATTTCAAGACAATAAAACCATCGCAGGCCTGTGTAATCAACCAATCGCTCTAACAAATTCAAATATTAATCATCCATTCTAATTTGCTTTTTATATGGCTCAAGCTGGTTCGCTATTCCATCCATTCATTTGGACTTATTTGAAACTGTATTTGATATACATCTTATGGTACCTTTCCATCATAGTATGTTGATTTCTCGATTGAACGATGTTGAAATAGCCTGCTAAACTACATACTTTGATGAAATACTGGTGTAACTGGAATAGTCCAGTACGTCTGGCAGAACAGTAATAGTAACAAGTGTAGACCAGATAAGTTATGCTCCATATAGCATAGTTAATTATGTTTGAGGATGGAAATCTTGAACGAATCTAGAGAGAAATGTCTCTAGTTTGAACCTAACAGTTGCCAATTCAGTTTCTAGATGTTTTATCGTGACATTGACTCACCTCTGTACATTTCATATGGTTTCTTAAGTCTTGTTATCATTACATTTCTATACTTATTCAGTCTTAATTGAATAAGTAGAGTTGTTTAAACATTTGTTTAACAACAAGTAAAAACTTGGAATGGTCTATTCTTTCATTGGGGTGTGTCTGTGTGTGAGCCAGACTAGTTTCGGAGAATTCAGCTCATCATCAATGACCCTGGACACTACCACCAATGAAATATCAGGCCAAACCAAGCCTTTATACTAGTGAGGTATTGAAAATCAAACTGGTGTATTTACGTGTTTACTATACTTATTCAGTCTTGTTATTATTACCTTTATATACTTATTCAGTCTTGTTATTATTACCTTTATATACTTATTCAGTCTTGTTATTATTACCTTTCTATACTTATTCAGTCTTGTTATTATTACCTTTCTATACTTATTCAGTCTTGTTATTATTATTTTTCTATACTTATTCAGTCTTGTTATTATTACCTTTCTATACTTATTCAGTCTTGTTATTATTACCTTTCTATACTTATTCAGTCTTGTTATTATTATTTTTCTATACTTATTCAGTCTTGTTGTTATTACCTTTCTATACTTATTCAGTCTTGTTATTATTACCTTTCTATACTTATTCAGTCTTGTTATTATTATTTTTCTATACTTATTCAGTCTTGTTATTATTACCTTTCTATACTTATTCAGTCTAGTTTTTATAAACTTTTTGCATATCTCCTGTGGATTTTCCAGAGCCAGTCTGTTTAATTTCTCCCCCTCAGTGGCACAGAGGTATGTCTGCGAACTTACAATGCTAGA